AGCGACTAATATCACTGTAGGTTTAGTAAGCAAGACTATCGTTCTCAAGCCAGAAATCTTCGGCAACGACCGTGCATTGATGAGCAGAAGTGTGGAAAGGTTACTATGACCTGTGAAGTGTTATACACTATCTTGTATGTCTAGTTGGTTAGAGAAATTTCCTACACTTAATTCATTAGACGATCTGCTACTTGCGCTACGGACATGAGACTCAGTGGTGGTGCATGCCGATATGACCAGTGAAGTTTGATTGTACAATGATTTATGATCTCTTGCTGTTTGAGAGTGCAAATACGTAGTTGATCCGCTGTTCATTCTTACTAGTGACTTGCAGTGCGGTTTGTGATCGGTGCAAACCGGGGATGGTAGCCCCAGGCTCATGTTTCTGGAGGGTGAAACGATCCTATGAACCATGGGTCGTACATATTGTTCGGGGTCCCAAAAAAATCTTGATGAGGCTCAAAAGTAGGGATGGTATTAGGGGAGTAATTATGTACATTCCCATAGTACTGGCTAGGATCATCCGGGTGCCGATGTAGGTTCGGGTAGGATATATGAAACCTGTATGACATGAATGTATTTGGCATACCACATGGCATCCTGTTGGGGCCCTGATAGCTGGGTAAAGGTGATCTAGGGTACTGTCTAATGTCAGATGCCTTCAAGTTATTGTAGTGTCTCTTTCCAACGGTTGAGGTTAGGTGTGTAACATGCCCTTTCGGTAGGTTTTCTTTTCGAGATGCCTTACTTCCCGTAGATCCAATAGCGGCTTTGTCCATGGCGACTATGTTAGCTACGAAGTTTTCTTCACCATCGTTAGACAAAATGCTTTTAAAAACGACTTTCTTCGAGAGCTTTGTAGGTCTAAAGTGCATGGTTTCACCTGCAGGTCTGTGTTTAGTGACGTTACTATCAGCTAAAAGGTTTTTTATCGATATTTAACTTAGGGAGGCTAGTGCTGATAGCTGGGGTTCCATGAGGAATTAAACAATCCGGATTACTTAGGTCCAAGTCCACTTGGCATCGCTTCACCACCAGAGTGGTTGGCGCAATAGGGTTGCTGGTCACAGTAGCACTATTCCAGTGTTTCTCAGGGCATCCAGTACCTTCGTAGTTTGCACACATTGGAGTGGTAGGACCTTTTCTCCTTTGTTTTCTGCGCTGACAAGGGGTTTTGTCCGGTACGATTGTGATAGTTTTAAAATTACTGTTTAATCTTATATGATCCTGATAGTTAATGAACCTCTTAGCATCACATGGGGTGGTGAACTTGAAAAAAATGGGGCAACTTAGCTGTGCCGCTTTCTTGTGGAGGCGTTTGCAATCATAGTGCATAGGCGTCATGCCACATGAGTTTAACAACCTTCTCTTGACGACACCTAAAGATATGGTATCTGGAACATTGTACACTGTTGCCTGTTCAGAAGATGCCAGCCTCTTCATTTCTTCACTTGCCAAGTAATCTATTAGCGTTTCAGCTTATTCAATATGGTTTGGGACTAGGTTGTTATGTTTTCCAAAAAGACAGGCCGTGTTGGAAGTCCTCAACTACTTTCTTGATTCCATCTATCATGGACTTAGTACTGTCAATTTCTTCTCTATTTTCCTTGATGTTATTATTCATAACCGACATAATGTCTTCAGCCCTGACGAGCGGTGTAAGGCATGTAAGTTCTTTACGATCTGGATTATATGACGCGATAGAGTTTCGGTCACAATCTGAAATATTGGTGGAACCAACTCTTTTATTCTTATCTCTAGAGCTATCCATCTTTGAACACTTTGCTTTCGACCACCCCATTTTTATAATAGGTTTTAAGTGAGGTGTGCGGTTGGCGGTAATGTATGCAGTCTAAAAGGATGGGAATACACTGTCTATATATAACAATGTAGCCCTAAATTATCCAGACAGAATATATCGTTATATTACTATATATATACAGTAATGATGAGCTAGGCACAACAAGAAATCGACAAAAGATATAATCAAGGATCACGTGTAAAAGTAACGCACAGTTTCAACGTTACCACGTCATGTATCTAGGAGGGATGGCTCAAAAACTACAAGATTCCACTATTTGGGTAGTAGAGTATAGGGCAAAATTGCTCAGTGCCATCGCAACAACCACCTTGGCAGCCTACGACCATGTATTCCTAGCTGGAGGCTTCAACACACCGACGCTCGACCCGGGGTGTGAAGTAAGATGTGGGCATAAATCTTTCGAACAAAAACTTCGAAGTACTTTCATGGCAGCAGGACTAACAGAGAAGGTTGGGGAAAAAGCCAGATAGGGACCGGACGGAAAGGATCACCACTGGACTGCTTTCTGACAGACGATGATCTTTTGGTGGGCGATATCTGCGTCCAGCCCCCCTTAGGTAAAATCTATCACTCATTGGTGAGATTCTGATAACCAAAGAGACACTACCAGTAGTTGAGTCAGAAGCGCCCCGCTGTTACCGAAAAGCAGACTACCACCTCATGAACAACGAATTCCTGGAGGCTGCACGGCCTCAAGAATGGGACTCATTATCGATAGATAAACAGTGGATACAGATTAAAGATATTACCTGGAGCGCTATCGAAAAAGAGTGTTCCAAAATTAACCAGACGGCCACCTCTCAAACGTTCTTGGGTAACTCGCGCAACCCAAAGACAAACAGAGGGGAAAAAGGAGGCCTGGTACCGGTGGCGTACATCGCGCAAGGAATCAGACCTTCATAGCTTCAGGACCTTACGAAACTTGTGTAATATAAGAACTAGTAATGACAAGTATACACACCAAAGCAACCTGGCTGAACAGTTAAGCTGCCACCCTGAAAGTCTGTATCGGTTTGTGTCACAACGGAAGCCGATGAATAAGGGCTTAAACCTGATCACCGGGCCGGCTGGAGAACCGTTGAACGGCAGCGAAATAGAGGAATTGTTGAGCAGTCGATTTGACGAGCAACCCAACCCAGTTGTACATCCGCTACCAACATCTAACAATGTAACGAAGTCTCAGGACTGCGATGCAAAGCTGATGAACGTGAACATTTCGTCAAGCCAAGTGTCCGCGAAACTCTCAACACTGAGAATAGGGAAATCCCCAGGCTGTGACGACATAAAACCGGTTGTCCTACGCAACTGTGCTGAAGTGCTAAACATACCCATATGCAACCTGTTCACGTGCTGGCTGTAAGTCAACTCCCCAAAGAATGGAAACGCGCCATCCCCTCACCAATCTTCAAACGAGGAGACCAAAAGAACCCATGCAACTACATGCCAGCAGCATTACTCCACATACCTTCCAAGGTACTGAAAAGCCTGGCTGCAGATATTGTTTGGGACTACCTTAACAGAAACAACATTGTCCATCCCACCCAGCATGGCTACAGAACCGGGCGGTCATGTGCCACAAACTTGGTGACCGCTTGGGATGACTGGACTACTAGATGGGACAACAAACAACAAGTTCACGTTATCTTCTTGGACTTGGCCAAAGCTTTTGATAGCGTCCCACACCGCACTGTGCTCGCCAAACTAGTAAAAGTGGGTACCACTGAACCACTCTTAGCAAGGCTTACAGCATACCTAGGGGATAGAGAATTCTGCACTGAAGTGAACAGAATGCGATCAACCTGGAGGAAAGCAGGAACAGGAGTTTCTGAAGGAGCTATCCTTGGACCACTCCTATTTTAATCATTTATAAACGACCTCCCACTATAATCTCCTGATCTATCCTCCTATTCTCCGACGACATGAAGATGTGGAGGACGATAGGCGACGAAGAGGATCCTAGAGTGCTCCAAAACGACCTGTTGCAGCTAGAGTCCTGGTCAGCTGCAAACGGTTTAAGCTTTGATTGGGAGAAGTGCAAGGTGATATATCTTTGTACACCAGAGGCTACGAAAATCGACTACACTCTTAACAAGTGTGCAATCACCAAGGTATCCACAGAGTAGGACCTAGGACTAAACTTTTCTGACACACTGGATACTAATGGCATTCATAAGGGGATGGCAGCGAACGCGAACGCCATTATGCACTTTCTAAGAAGGAAACTTGGATTGTTAACTCCAGAGTTATTCCTCATGGTATTCGAAACATGCGTTTGACCACACCTAGAGGTGTTCAACAAGGTAGCCCCTCCCTTTACTAAAGAGAGACGCAAATTCTCTCGAGAAGGTACAAAGAAGAGCAACAAAGTTGGTTGTCGGATTAACAGGCAAAATATACGCACAACTCCTCAGACAACTCAACCTGTTCATACTAAGCTATCGAAGAAAACGAGGTGATGCGATAACAGCCTACAAGATCATTCATCAAGTGGACCACCAAATAGGACAACATTATCGGTCCAAAACCGACAATCCCGTGGGAACCCCACTCACATACCCCACCATAGGGCAAGGACTAGAGTGAGATCTAACTTCTTCTCCCATAAAGTATGTGTCTTATGGAATGCGCTACAGAAAGAAGTGGCCACAGCTAATCAGTCAACTCCTTCAAACGATTACTGGATGAGTATGTGAGCGCAAATGGCTTGTTACGAACATATGTCGGTAGCAACCGATGATACGCCCTTCCATCCCTTTATTCTCTAACCCAAGTATCTGCATTGAGATGCACCTCTCCTCTATATTATTACCAGTCACATGTATCTTTTCAAAAGTACTTTTCACTTCTTTTCTCTCTCCCCATTCCACCCGTTTCTATCACTATTTAAATAACGCTTAACACTTACTTTCAGGTGCCTACAACAACAGGAATTGCAAACGGTTGACTGATCGTATCAGCAGCTCCGTTGCCTGCCCCCCCACTAAACAAACCAAGCAATAATTTGCAGATAGAACACCTTCAAATAGACAAACAATACCATCAAAGATATAAGCAGGAAAACGCAAAGACCTCTGCTACCATCGAAGGAGTACAACAGAACAAAAAGAACCAAGCCTCAAGAACTAGAAGCGAGGGCTCAAAAACTGCAAGTTTCCTCTACTGGCACTATTGTTGTTGGATGTTGGTTGTTGTACTTAACCGCGCTATAACGAAAAGATCGGCTCTCAAGGTTAAACTGGTAAGCTTATGAAACTTAGGTAGTAAGTTGTCTGCAGTGCAGATTACGATTTCAGTCAGAAGTTCCAAAACCATAGTTTTTTCTATATTTTGTGCTATTCTCATCCTATAAGCCAACTTGGACAGAAACACACTTCGTAGAAACTTGGCGTTAGTAACCCTTAGATAAAGTTTTCGACAGTTCGATCGTATATATTTCCATGGTATTTTCAACTGCTTCATACAACCTAACTTGAAATTTGGGACTATTATCCTCCTTTCTCTACAGGACAAATCTGCTCGAGGACTTGGGTCTAAAACATACGAAGAACGACTGGTTGCTCTTGATCTATATCGTACGGGGTACTGAAAACAAGAAAGGGATTCGATTATGGCTATTAACATCTTCACATCCCTGGATACCCACTCCATCACTTATTGAATCTCATTTGTAGCACCAATCTTAGAAGACGTATGGAAACTAACCCCGGAACATAGCAGGTTAGATGTTAAAAGAAACTTGCATTCCATAGCAGCTGTTAAACCCTGAAATACTCCTGCAGAAATGATCTCGGGTATTTCTTGTGAATCATCAGGCAGTAAACACTTTGGGTGCACTTTGACATTTTAGAATTGTTCCCGACATCAACTTAAGGCGCCCTACCACCCAGTCAACATTTTTACGCGGAAAAACGCCATTTTCGGAACACGGCGAATAAAAAAACAGGGCAATGTAGCGAAACTCGGGGATTTCACCATGGTCTGTCATTTCACCCGGCAAAAATATTGATCGGGGACCTCATTTATTATTATTTGATGGTACCAACAAACCACTGCAGCAACAATGTTTGGCGAGAAATCCACCCCAAGTGCTCTTAAATCGGCAGTCGATGTGTCCAGTAGACTTCATCTTAGCATCTAACAGGTTTATGTTATCTGCCCAGTCAACAACTGCAAGGCGAAACGAGGAACAATGGGGGAGTATAGCGTTGAAAAATCGGGGTTTCGCAACATTGCCCCCAGTTTTACACCGCGTTCTGTTCTGAAAATAGCCCCGTGTTTTCCCGCCAAAATGTCTACGGCGTGCACTCTAGATCTACCAAAGTTTCTCTGGTGATGACCAATTTCTGTCTAGTTTGACAAGACGGAGAGCTCGTTAATTTCGCTCATGACAAAGTTGAACAAGAATAGAGTAAGTGAACATCCTTGATAAACTCAGTTCAACTTATGCAACTCACCATCAGTTCTAATGCGTTCAAGGGTTTTTGAGTACAAAGCCTTCAACAAGGTAGTGTAATTACTTAGCATCCCTTTTAGTGAGTGCCATAAAATCTCTCCATTTATGGTATCGACTGCTGCTTACATGTCGATAAATATATCTAGTTTGGAGCATCGATAAGTGAGCCCGTGTTCCAGAATCTGCGGAGAGTGAATATCCCGTCGTTACACCCACAGCGAGATCTGATATCCTCCTGGTTTCTTATAACTCACTCTTGAGCTCCAGTTAGTCGTTTTGTAATTACACAAACTAGAAACGATATTCGGCAGACTGGTTTCTATGTGGTTATCACAAAATGATTTCTCCACTTTTTAGAAGACTACGCAATCAGGGATTAAGACTAGTTAGAGGGAATCGTATTGAATCCCATAAACCATCTGTTGCTTCACTTTACTTGGCCAATAGTCGTTGACCACCGTCAATTTGACACTGGTGCCGGGCCATCTGTTCCTGATACTTTTCCTCCTTTCAGATTACTTACAGCTTTCTTGGCTTCTGCAAGTATTAAGCACCCTGTCCCCATGTTCATTTCAGCATCCGACTACATAGCGGGCAGTACAATAGCTGGAGGCCGTTTTAACTGTTCCTCAAAGTGTTTCGCCTCTCGTTCTAGTCCTCTTTGCGAGTAAATCACAGACGCATCCTTCTCCGCTATAGTATCAGTATCCATTGATCTTTTCTCCCTCGTTCGCTTGATAGGTCTAAATAACTGTCGTTACTTATCACCTCTCCCCTTCCTATCTCTTTAGCCTTTGTTGAAAACCACTACTCGTGGTCCTCGCGTAGATTTTTGCCAGCCTACGTTTCAGTTGCCTCCACTCCTCATTGTACTCGAAGCTTGAAGGAATGCGTTCGCGTGTTTCCAATAATTCTAGAGAAGTGGCTGAGATCCATAAGCCTTTTCGAACCTTTTCCTCAGGGTTTTACTTACGTTTTTACAGCAGACTGGAGATGGTGTCAGACTTCTTGATGAGTGATTTTGTTTCGTCCTGATAACTGTCTAGCCAGTTTCTCTCTGCAAGCAGCCTCACCATTCATATCGTGGGGCTACTCTCAAAATGGTCGTGCTGCAAGTTTTTTTACGTCAATTTTAACGCGGTCGCATTAGAGCTCAAACAAACGCATGATTGCTATATAAACACCGATTATCTCCAGTGGTAACTGATAGCAACATGGTCTCCCTGTATTCACCATTGAGTTGCGGTCGGTAGACGTAAAGTCAAACACTGTCTGACTGACTGACAAAATAAACGTGGAACCTCGCACATAAGTGCGTCGGCTCAAGTCCTCACGCTCCACAGTAGTACGGAAAGAATATGCGGATAGAAAAGGAGTGACATCAAATTTTCAAAACATTCTGGGAGAATAAACAATCTAAAGGTCAATGATAGTGCTAATATTCAAACTTTAGAAGATGTCAAGTAGTGAATACATCTGCATCACTGTGACTGATTTCGAGCCATGTCCCTAAGAGTTCTCGACCACTGACCGCTTCCATCTCGGGGACCCCAACTAGGCGATCTGCATCTTCCCACACGGCTCAGACCAACAGTCATAGATTTCAGGGACTGTTGCCAGGTGTTGGTCTGACACTCCGAACCCTCTTCCAACGTGATCCAGCTTCCCCTAGTATGACATGTTGAGGTAGGCGGTGGCTTAGCATCCACAGTACTTGTCTAAGTTGCCTCAGTCGACTAAGACTAAAAATCTCATCAATCGACTTGCATTTCTTGCCTATTACGCTTCGTCTGACCTCAGCATTGCTTACGCGGTGATTCCACCAAACGCGAGCAATGCTACGAAGATATCTGTGATCAAAACCCTGTAACCGCTTCATGTCTTCCACTTTTAGCTGCGATATCCCCTAGCTATATAAGAGGACGGAACTGACTGCAGTGTAGAATACTCATCCTTTGACAGATTATCGGATATCTTGCCAGTCAGTGCCACAGTTGACGCACGTTGGCAGGTGCTAAACGGGCCTTCTGTATCCGAGCTGAGATTTTGTCAGCAACCACCCAGTCTGATGGGCTGGTGCAACTCCTCATGTAAGTGAAGTGGTCAACGCGTCTCATCACTTCACTCCCTATCATTAAGCTGGGAGTCGTTGCAGGGCAGTTTTGAAGTATAATTTTGCATTTGACAGGTACGAAACGCACGCCGAATATACACATATTTCCGCTCAATGCATTCAGATGAGCCTTCAAAACAACAGCGTCTGCATATTCTAAGTCAACTACATGACCTACAAGTAGTAAGTCAATCCCTGTGAATTCAGACGTACCTAAAATTATGTCGATTAGTACGCCTATGATGAAGTTAAACAGGAACAATGACAGTGAACATTCCTGGTGAACCCCACTAGTTGTTGTCGATTCTGATGAAGATTTTTCACAAGCCCTGACATGGTTGCTCGAGCTCGAGTAGAGATTTTTAATTAGCTTTGTATATTTGCTCCTTTAGAAGTCAGACACTGTCACAATACCTCACGGCCGGCCAAGTCAAATGCCGCCTTCAGATCAAGAAATATGACGTGTCAGGCGGCGGTAGGTATGCTTGCGTTCCAGAACCTATCGGAGGGTGAAAATACGATCGATGCATCCCAGACCAGATCTGAAACCTGCCTGGTTTTCTCGAGTTTCCTGTTTTCGAGCTCCTGTTCGGCTTCGGATAATTACGGAACTCAGGACTTTGGACACTATTCGTCAAGCTAATTCCCCTATGATTTCTCCCCTTTCCTGTAAACTGGGATGATCAGGTCTTACTGCTTTGCACCGTTCCAGGTTCAACACAGCTTTCTCAACTTCAAGGTAAATGGGGGGACCGACATTTACGCCTCATCTAGGTTCAGCCTCGCTTTCGCTAGTCACCACTACTCTCGATCGATTCGAAGACTCTTGGTCAACCTACGTTTAAGTTGTTTTCGCTCTTCTTTGTGGTCAGAGCCAACTGAAACCAGTCTTCTCACATCAATCACGGAAAGATCCACTCAGTCGAACAGCACATAGACAGCTGTTTACTGGAATCCAGTCGAGAATCACTTTCCGTTATAATTCACGGTATACATAACGATACAGTGCTCCGACGCGATATGATTAACGATAAAACAATGACTTCTCAACTCGATATTCATCTGACATCAGAAGACAATGAGATTGAAAGTATTTTTACTTCAACCGAATAATAATAGCTGAAAACCCAGTCGTTTATATATCCTTAGATAGCATTGACCAGGGAAAACAAAAAAGCATATTAAGAGTGTAAAATGGACCAATCAGCGTTTAGTATCCTAAACTGCGGTAAAAATAAGTAACACCACGGCGCAAATAGGGCACAAAAATAAGGTTTAAATTTTACAATGATAATCTGAACATATTATAAGTTGGTTTTCATTAGGGATTATTATTATTATTATTATTACTTGTCCCTTCGGTTCCTAGTGGAATATAGGGCTTCAGTAGCACTCTGTTCTCTGCAGTCTTTTGAATCCGGCCCCACCACTGCCCAGAAGCTTTCATTTCTTCCTCATATGATCTCCTCCATGTCACTCTCGGACGCTCAACTCGTCGTTTCCCCCTTAGATTCCACTCGAGGATCTTGCCTGGCGCGTGATGTCTCCGAATGGTTTTCTCAGTGTACGCCCGGTCCAATCCATCTCCACTTTCTTCTGCATATTTGTTGAGTGATAGGTTCTTGGTTGGTTCGTTGCCAGAGTTCCTCGTCGCTTATTCTTATTATTCTGG